TTTATTATCTTCACATGTTATTGTGCATCTACGGTGATGATTGATAACCTGGATGAGTCCGCCATGTTGGATGACAAGAAACATCCAACATGGCTGCCGCAATAACTTTTTCCATACCTGTAAGGAAAGACTGTGTAAAATAWAAGCCCGAAATCCAGAAGACGTCAGGGGGTCCATTGTCGATCCATTTCTGAGGGTATAAGAATGAAAACAGTGAGAAACATTCAAGCCCTCCCTCTCCTGTGGGGGTAGGTACCAGGGGAGGGTTAGAGGATTCTCAGTGTACGTATCGTAAGCCCCCATCGCCCCCGCCTCCCGTCTTTGATTAAACAATGCGAGACAACCCCTACCCCCTTTCTCTTCTAGCGGTTGCAAAAAGCGTGGTGTGCTTACTGGTAAATAACCGAGTGTTATTTCTCAATTGACGCGGTTTTCTTTGTTATTCACCAGGCTTTATTTTTGTCATAACTCTCATTATAAATGCGAGGTCAATATATAGTTATTAACCCGGTTAATTTTCGATTTTCGATTGACTTTTTTTCTCCCCGCAAACGGCAAACGTGATCACGTTTTTCATCGTTTTCCTGTATTTTACTTTACCTTTTACAAACCTTCTCACCAAAGACAAATATTCTTTTGTTTTTCTACTACTTGGACTTTTTTGCGATTCTTTTTAAGATATTAAAAATATYTTTTTAATGGTCAACTGACGTTTCACGTTTGCCGTGAACTTRAATCTAAAACTCTCTAATAACTATATATTGACCTTGCATTTATAATGAGCAATTCAGTTCAATTTATCAGCCCCGCTCATGCAGGTTATTTTTTATATTTTTATCTTTATTTATTTATCTATTTTTCTTATTTTTAAGTTAAATATATACACATTTGATAGAAAACCTTCTCAATTGATAAATAAAATACTTAATTACCTCGAACGTCGGCAATAAGCCTGTACATCCCGAGGGTCGCATGGCTTATTGCCTCCGTTCTCGGTAATTAACTCTTACTTTTACCTTGAAGAAGACGAGTCGTGCTACTAGGTCGGATACATAGCTACCCAGAGGTTTGAGTGACGGGTAAGACTTGGCAGCCCACATACCGGGTACCTAACGATACAATGAAAGAACGCATGAGAAGATGATTCTGCCTGGAAGACGGAAGCTATAGACCAAGCAAATAGATCCCTTACAGGATATTCCCAACACAGCTCAGTTCACAGGACAAAACAATAAAATTTTACTCTCCTGGGAACTAAAAATTCATTGTTTTTTCCTTTGAATTTAGCGGCTTTGGGAATTGGTCCAAGGGGTCTATAGATAGACCCCTCATTGATGCAATTACTTGTACAGTTCAACATGAAGTACAATACAACAGAATTCACTTCTCAGAAGAATAGTAGTCAGTTCTATCATTTTGCACTCCAAATTGGGCCACATTTGGAATACGTTTAAGCGCGAAATGTAAAGTGATCTCGAAGGTCTCAAAGGTATCCTGCCCGGTATCCTGATACCTTAAGTCGTATTCTTAGCAGCCTCCTTGCGTGCTTCGCGCTCCCTGTCATGGTCATCTCCAAGTGAATTAGCGAGTACAACTTGGTGCAAGTCTGGAATATGTTGGAAGGGGTTTATTACGATATTGATGGTTTTCACAGCCACCATGTTGGATGAATATAACAAAAGATTTGTCATTAGTYTCTTTTGTCATATCATCCAACATGGCWGCCATGTCTTTTGTTATTTCATTCTCTTGGGAATGATTGAAAGCCAGCAATAAAGTAAAACCGGACTGTCTGACTGACTCACCTTGCCTACCAACATGCTACCAAAAACGTCTTCTAGCTCCGATGACATGACCACAAGACCCTGAATAAAACCAACAGTTTGTAAAGCATACATTAAGAGGTTTTACAACTATCAAAATGAATAACTGAAATGTCGCACCTTGATAGCCTTTTGTATATTTAGTAGACTTGTACGAACGACTTGGGTGAGGCGATTGAATCTACAGAAAATAAGACAGAAATGAGACTGATGTGAACAACAGGCTACATCGATGCAAAGATGAAGAACAGTTCTTGAGCAGTGGGATAGTCTGACAGGGAGTCCAATTTAGAAAAACATTTGAAGGGAAAATAAAATTTAAAAAATTGCCTTTGTTATTATCATTATAATTATTTTCTGTATTTGAGAACAAGACAGTGTCCTCCAAAACGCAAGCCGGAATATAAAAATCAATCAAAAACGAAGTGAAATATTTTTTTCGCGCGCCTTTGTTTTCCTAGGAATTCCCAATGTCTTTTGGTCGCTCACAGCGCAGAAATATTGCTACAAGGGCTCCCTGTGGTCTGACGCGTGCAGTATTCCTACCAACCTGATTATTTCTTGTAACAGGACTGTGTTCATTGATTCTTCGTAGCGAACGGGGTATTTTTTCTGAGGCAATAAATGAATAAAGCAAGAAATGACCAACTGAAGAGAAAGTARCTAAGGAAGTAGAGAGAGGTGGATGTATTGGTGTATTGAATGCAATGGGTGAAGGACGGGATTGATAGAATGGATGGATAGACGGAATGAATTTCATGTAGCGACGACAAGTTAACACCATTCACGATGGACCTCCTCGGCTAAGGCGTAATGTTTTCCCATTTCAGACCACGTGTCATTTCCTTTAGAATCGTTTCTTTATTTGCATCATATTCTCATGCGTAGCTGTTAAACAAAGAAACGATACTCTTGCGAACGACACGTGGTTTGAGGTGGAAAAATATTACGTAATGTTTTCCCATTTCAGACCACGTGTCATTTTCTTTAGAATCATTTCTTTATTTGCATCATATTTTCATGTGCAACTGTTAAACAAAGAAACGATACTCTTGCGAATTACACGTGGTTTGAGGTGGAATAACATTACGTAATGTTTTCCCATTTCAGACCACGCGACATTTCCTTTAGAATCATTTCTTTATTTGCATCATATTTTCATGTGCAACTGTTAAACAAAGAAACGGTATTCTTGCGAATGACACGTGGTTTGAGGTGGAAAAACATCACGCCCAAGCTAAAGAGGTCTATCCCATCACATCATAATTCGTAGAGTTTCAATCAAAGTTTATTGCGAAAGCCACACAGGATCTTACCTGAACTTGTTCGATATCAAAATCAGGTGGAATCTTGGACAGGATATCAGCAGCTAGATCTTCAATGACCTCTTGAGAGGATTTACCTCCGCTAGACGTCTAAATAAATGAAGATAATATAAATACTGATATTAGATACTGATTGACTGCAATTATAGGGATGAAATTATTAATATTAATGTTATTATTGAAAATATCTTTCAAATCTTTCTTTGAATATATTGGAATCACAAGTGGGTTTGTTTTATCGTTAATCTGAACCAACCTTACGTCCACCCCACTCTCCTCATTTAATTTCTCAGTGACATTATTAGAACACAGGTAGCCCAATTTGAGATTTCATTATTTATTCCGTCCTTTCTTCCTTTCTGGAAATCTTAAACTGTGATTAAAGTAAAAGAAATTTTAATTTTAAAAATATCAAGACCAAAGAAAATATAGTGAATATTTACGTGACTTAAATTTCACTTGGAAGCCAGAAGCCATTTCCAGATCATATAAAACAGGTAGAATTCTGTAACATGGAAATTATGTGAAATTAAAATACCTGTCTGGGTAGGGTTAGCAAGATTCCTTCAAAAAGTTGGAACGTTTCTCGTTGGTTCTTTGTTATGTCGGCATTCTCGTGCAACCCAAAAACCTAAAAGAGAATAGAATATTAATAAAGGGAAACAAATTGAGTTAGAAAATTGATGAAATTATGTCTTGTTAAAAAGAATTTTTTTTTACAGATATGCTTGCATCTTTTCGTTGGAAACCTTTCAAAAATCGCATAAATCTCGCCTGGATTTTCGTGTTCTCTCAGCTACGATATAAAGTCAGGGTTGATTGGTAATAATAACGATCCCGACAAGTTAAGGGCGTGTTTTCAATTTATTATTTTACATCAGTATTTTTTAATGGTCGCGGTCAAATCCACACAGGAAGCCCAATTTAGATAAAGTGAAAGATGAAGAAATTCACGAAAAAGAAAAGAAAATGAAGCAGTAATGCAGCGCGAGTGGTTGATTATCACGCGCTCTGGTTTGCTTGCATTACTCTATTATAGTCCTTGGCTCGCCTACTGTACAAGAATGCTATACAAAGGAAGCGATTTTAGATAGTGTTTCTGCAATTCAGTTAGCGTTTTGGCTTCATTTTCCTGAYCATGTATCGTGAGATACATCTTTTTTAATCCCAAAAGAGCTGTTTTGCTCATTTATTTTCACCTTTCAATTTTATCTAAAGTGGGCTTCCTGTGGCTGAATGAGCCACRCAGACAAAAAATTGAACTGAAAGATTTTTGAATAATAATATTACCTCTGGGTGTGGTGTTAGTGGTAGACTACGTATGTAGTCCAGATAGCTGTCGTACGAGCCCTGGTGAACAAAAAAAAAGTTAAACCTCTTCACCATAATCAAGGAAAAAGCACAGGAACCTCAGTACAAAGCCAACGACGAGTCTTTTACCTCGGGCGTAATGTTTTCCCATTCAGACCACGTGTCATTCCCTAGAGTATTACTTCTTTGTTTAACAGTTGCGCACGAACACACACAAAAATATGGATACAACTCCAGCAAAAAAAAATCTTATTTTCAAGAGAATGACACATGGTTTGAAATTAGAAATAAAAGGAACAAAAAGTATTAAAAACAGAAATAAAGATAATAATAAGCATAAGTTCATGGTTCAAGTTCAAGAATATTGCTGTGACGTCACAAGATCACGTGGTACACACCTCGGGCGGTGCGTAATATGATCCGCTTGATGAGAACTTGTAATCATCGTCATCAATGATTTCTTGACAGTAGAATATCGACAGTAAACTAAGAATCAAGCGCCTGTAAACAAATATTCGTCGGTCAATATACAAAGCACGGTTACGGTGCGTTATACACGAAAATCGCTGAACCAATCACAGCCGCAAAATCACTATATATGACATCACCACGGTTATTGTATGTCAGAACAGTAAACCATAAGAATCAAACGCTTGTGGACAAAATACATCAATGTATGTATAAAGTACGATAACGGTGCGTTATAAACGACAATCAMTGAACCAATCACAGATCTATTAAGTTGTGACGTATTTCYGGGTCCACTTCAACTGTTCACAAAAACCGCTACAATAAAAGCGAAATATTTTCTCGACGATTTAGCCTCCACATAAAACAAGTAATTTTATCCTCTGGGCCCGGTTGTACGAAGCCTGGATAGCGCTATCCGACGGATAAATCTTATCCAGTGAATAAATTTATTRKATAACAGCATGGACTTATCCACTTTATAAGCATTTATCCGTCGGATAGCGCTATCCAGGCTTCGTACAACCGGGCCCTGAACAAAAACTCCTGTCATTAAGTAAGAAAACTCTTTATAGACCTGTCTTTCGTTTTTGACCCGGAAGTCGTTTTTCCCGGCATACGATTGACCTCATAAATATTTGTAGACCCTTTGCACAAATCTCTAATCTGGGGTTCAAAATAAAATAATCCCTTTCTCTGTAAGGTGTGATATTTTTTCATATGTTACCTGTCGCGATCATCAGTGACTCGCCCTCCATAGTTACATTCGCCCGTCAAGTATGTSAGGGCATCTAGTGGAACTTTATCATATTCGTTTATAAACATCTGAAAAAATAATAAAATACAGGAAAGATTACATCGATGGGTGGATGGAAGGTATAGATAGGATGTATGGGTAGGTTGGGGTGGAATGAACGGGATGGGAATTGGGATTGGGAGAAGTTGATGAATGAAAGGATGGGGAGTGGAATTAGAATGGAGTTGGAATGCATAAGGGAAAGATAGAGCGTGGAATCGGGGGGAGGGGGAATGGGTAGGATTGCCAACCTGTTGCTGCTTGACACTTATCCTGAGGTCAGACTCGTTAAATTCATACGGAATATTCCAACCAAGTGGGCCGAATTTACGTCTCTCTTGGACTATACCATGAAAGAAGCATAATCCAAATAAAAGCTTCTTCCAAACCTACAACAAAAATGTACATGCATATGAGTAAGATCTGAAAGAATTGGGTACGAACGAATTAATGGGTTTCAGTAACACTAAATTGGGTTCCGCATACATACAAATGGCTTCTAAACACTCAAGTGGTTTCTTTATATATTTAAATTGGTTTGTTAAATCTAAATGGCTTTCAACACTCAAGAGGTTTTCAAATACTGAACTGGTTTCCAAACACTCAACTGGTTTCTTTTCCCATTAAATGGGTTCCACTCTCTAGTGGCTTCTGAACAATAAAGCACGAAACGCTTGTTTCGCATCCAAACAAAATTCTTGACTACATTACACAAACGAGACTATACCTTCTTAGTGAAAAGTTTTTTTCTAGCAAGAAAAGGTGATCTCAATATCGACGCTAATTACCTTGGTTTTTTTGCAGCCATTAAAAAAGTAAGGGTCCGAGATTGGATCACTGAAGTACGACCGCTGTAGATTGGCTCTCAATCCTTTGGGAGGTTCGTTAGTCATCTTGACACCTGGACAGATAAGATTAAGTATTAAACATTTGACATTTTACCGAGAAATTTTACGTGAGTACGTGGGCACGATTCTTATTTCAGGTCAYTTGTCTAGTGCCACTTGTGCCACAAGCCACTTGTCTAGGGTTTAGAGTATTAATTCTTTGTTTAATGGTTGCACATGAGAAGACACATTAATATGAATACAACTCATCATAGAATCTTATTCTCAAGAGAATGACACGTGGTCTGAAATCGGAAAACATTAAGCCCAAGCAGTAAAGGTCTATTCCTCTCGGTATGTAACTTCTCTCCCTCCCCTTCCGCGCGATACACTTATTTCAATAAAGTTAGTCACCAGAAATGCTATAAAGCTGAGGCCGACGAAGATCATGGGCAGATTCATTTTACACGTTCAACCGCTTGATAACTGTTCATCGACTTGCGAATCTTTTACCGGTTACAGTCTCACCTCTTCTGAGCATCATCGAGCTGCAGTTTGTATCAAAAAAACTTTGTATATATTTGCTTTTTTGATATGAAAAGTTTCCCATGATGCTCAGTGATCTCAGCTTTCTAGGTTTTTGGTGACTAACTTTATTGAAATAAGTGTATATGACTTCTAGACTCACCATTTTGTAGGATGGAGACAGGGAATCGGTCGGTAGGGTAACTGGTAAGCCATAAACGAAACTTCTTATGCGTTCTTTCAGGGATAATGACCTATAAATGACATAGATAAGAACAAATCATTATTGGCTCATCATAAATGATATAGATAAGAACAAATTATTATTGGCTCATTATAAATGATATAGATAAGAACAAATTATTATTGGCTCATTATAAATGATATAGA